TGCCCTTCTGCCTACCCTCCTCCAGGCCAAGGAAACCATGAACACCCTACATCTGATCATAGTACTCTTCTCCTCAGAGACCTGCTCTAGCTCCCTATTACCCCAGCATCTGGCCGCATAGGGGACATTCAAGAACCTTCCTACAGGGTCTTGCCTCTGCACTCCCGCCTCAGCTCCCTGCTCTAGCCATGAGCATCTCTGTTCTCAGAGGGGTTGCTAAACTGCTCAGCTGTAGCTCAGGGAGATAAAAATCTCAGCTCTTCAAAAGCCTTCCTCTACCAGAGACCCACCTTGGAGTCCCTTCTGTCCCTCAGTGGTGAGCCAGTCCCTCCCTGTCCCTCAGATCTCTCCAAAGGACCTAGTCTACACGCCAGCTTCTTGGTGCTCTCCCGCCCCCGACCGGCCCTCCCCTGCCCCCCCTTCCTGGGAACAGTCACCACCAAACCTGTTCAGCAAGGGATCCATCATGGGTAGCTGGGTGGACACAGGGGAGGACTCCCTGGAGGAAGCCTTGGAGGCCACTATGACCTCTCCTCCCTCCACAGTGCTCCAAGGAGCACAGGACAGAGAGTCAGGAAGTCAGCCGCTCCTTCCTGGGCTTCCATTTCCTTGTGTGAAATGGAGTATGGTGGAACTGGGCCATCATCTCTAACATCCCCATGCCTCAGATTCCTCCATGGCTACGAATGATACTTGCTAAGTGTCTGTCAGGCACCTTACCAGAACCGGACAAATATGATTCCCAAACCCCGGGGGTGGGGGTTGTTTTATATGTGATGCCGACCAATGCTTTTAAATAAACAGAGGCCACTACCTTCTGCAGCCTCTGTCCCTCTGCCCTCCAACAGGGCAGGAAGTCACCGCCAGCTTCAAGAAGGGAACACAGGGAGAGCAGAGGAGCAACCTGCCAGCTCACAGAGCCGAGGACCACACAAAGGGAACCTTTTCTCACCTCAACGTCCCATTCTCCCAATTGCGTGTATAGGCCTTCCTGCCCTCGTGTTGACCTACACCCGCCCAGTACCTGGCCACAGTGCAGACCAGAGCCTGCCCTTGAAGGGGCCTCAGTTTGCTGACAGTCATCAGTCTCCAGATCTGTACACAAACTCATCTGTGTGAAGGAAAACTCGGGGTGCTGTGAGATGTGACTTGGCCCAGGGTGACCCTTGTGGGAAAATTCCAACTGATTTGGGCAACTCCTTGTCATGGACAGTCAGCCACCTTCCTTACTGGCCAGGCATGGGCTGGTGACCCTGGTGGAGCCTGCTGCGTGCATCCTCACCTCCAGCCCCCTCTACCCCATCCTTGGCTCTCCAAGTCCCCCCCAAGACTATCCCTTTACAACTGCCCTTTCCACCGAAGGATCCAGACACAAATTGTACTTTAAATTCAATATTGGTCATTAATATTTCATGATTACAAAACGTTAAAGATAATGTCAGTGGAAGGCGCGTCTGCATGGGCAGGATGGATGACTCAGAGGTTCGGGAGAGAGGAGCCAGCATACTAAGTGGGCCCAAGCCTTTGAGGTAATCCAGCGTGACAGGCGGCTGCTCTGGCTGAGGGCGACATCCTCCGAGGGGCCCACAGAGCGCTGCAGCGTGTATAAATATTTCCCCTCTGATCCTCACCCCCTCTTGTTTGTTCCGCCTGGGAGCAGGTGGGGCTGTGGGACCCCTGGCTCATCCCCTTTGCTTCTGAGGGAGCCAGGCAGACACCTCAGCAGGAGGACACAGGGCCTGGGGGTGGAGCCAGTGGGGCCTAGGCAGACTTCTGGTGTGGAGGATTGGGTCACCCTGGGCTAGCATGGACTCGCTCTGTGGTTTGGGGCCTTAGTCTCCTCATTTGTGAAATAGATATGGTAACTATCTTCATTAGAGATGGCTCGAAGGTGGTGTGGTGTGGGTAGGGGTTATTTGCCACAGATTGTGCACGTGCATGTGTGTGTGTGTGTGTGCGCGCGCGCGTGCGCATGCCCGCGTGCTCGTGTGTCTTGTTGGAGGTTGACATCAATGTCTTCTCTACAACTCTCTGCTTATATGTCAAGGCAGGGTCCCTCACTTGAACCCAGAGTTGGCCATTTTGGCTAGTCTAGCTGACCAGCTCGCCCTGGAGATTCCTTGTCTCTTCCTCGTGAGCAACTGGGATTACGCATGGACTGCCATACCTGCCTGGCATTTATGTTGGCGCTGGAGATTTGAACTCTGGTCCTCGTGATTGCAAGGCAAGCACTCTTCCCATGGAGCCATCTCCCTAGCTTCCTACTTTACTTTTGATTACATATGTGTGTGTGTGTGTGTGTGTGTGTGTGCACATGCCACAGTGCACAAGTGTAGTCAGAGGACAATTTGCAGGAGTCGATTCTCACCTCCTACCATGTGGGTCTCAGGGATTGAACTCAGGTTGTCAAGCTTAAAGGCACGTGTCTTACCCACTGAGGCACCTTGCCGGCCCTTTGGTTTTGAAACAGGATCTGCTGTTGAACCTAGGGTTTGCCGTCTAGATTGGCTGGCCAGTAACTCCAGGAATTTGCCTGCCTCCACCCCCTGGTGCTGGGACTATGTCATCATGTTCGTCTCTATGTAGAAACTGGGGGTCTGAGCTCAGCAGGAGCTTTGTACACTGGACCAACTCCCCAGCCCCAGACCAAGGGAATATGACCAGGGCACAACACAGGGAGAGCTCAGCTCTGCACCAGGCCAGGCCAGACTGGGAATTTGCATAAAGGATTTCACCTGAGTCTGTTTCCTCATCTCCACACTGGGGCCAGCTGTAGAACCAGCACTCCTTAGACGTGGAGATCCGGTGACGTCATCACTGTAAAGGGCCCAGACTCCCCCAGTGGGAGAGAAGCCAAGTGCACAGTCCAGGCGGTTAGGGAAGCAGTGAATGCAGGGCTTGCTAACACTGACTGATTTCTCTGCACTAAGAAGTGAAGCGTTCCCTTTATTAGTTAGTATAGAGGTGAGGAGTGGGCAGGTGCTGTGGATTGAAGCTCAGAGGGGCATCTCAAGCCTGACTGGGAGCCGACTTCTCCCAGAGTCTCGCCCCCACCCCATGGTCAGCTGGGTGGGATGTAGTGAGGGCAGAGAGGGAAGTCGGACAGCTACAGGCGCCTGATGAGCACGTGCCAGGGAGACCCAAGGTGAGAGCGCTGGGCTGAACCCAAGGAGGGACTTGCTAGTGGCCGGATGTCAGACAGGTGACAATCCCTGGGCCAAGGAGGAGGCACCTCTGTCTGTCAGTCAGGCCTCTGCCTTCCCTGTGCACAGAGCCTCAGTGACAGCTGCCTTGGAGCAGGCGAGGGAGGCTCAGAAGGTGGAGGAACTCCCCCCACCCCCAGTCCAGCGCTAGGTCCTCTCCAGCCACCTTTGTTCTCTCTTCCAAGCGGAGGAGGAGTGGATTCAAAGGCTCCCAGACGCCGCCCGCCGCCGCACTGAGGGCTGAGCTCGCTTTGTGTTTGCCTTTAAACTGCAGTTGAAAGAGACGAAGAGGACTTCAGCCTAGGGACTTCCTCGGCCCTGCCACGGGCCAGCGGGGCCTCCGAAGTGGGAGGAGGAAGGGAAGGCGGGCACAGAGAGAGGGGAGGCCAGCAGGAGGGCTTCGGGATAGGGGTAGGTCGGCTTGAGCTGCCCTAAGGCTGAGACTCAGCGATCTCCTGCATCACTCAAGATGCTTTCTAGCGGTTTGCTGACGAGGCCTGCAGAGGTGACAGGCGACACTGGAGAGCGAAGCTGAGGAGACCTGGCAGGCACTGGCTGGCTCTGCCCACTCCTGGTGCTCCATGAGTTCCTTCCCTCTGCTTCCCACTTCCACAGCCTTACTTATGCAGACTCCTATATTTCAGGATCATCCTTTCCTTCCCCGGCTCAACCCCCACCCACCCAGTGGCTCCAAACTAGGCCCCTACTTCCAGAAACTTCTCCCCAGCAGAGCCAAATTCCTTTAGTGGTTTTTTTTTTTTTTTTTTTTTTTTTTTTTTTTTTTTGTGTGTGTGTGTGTGTGTGTGTGTGTGTGGTTTTTTGAGACAGGGTTTCTCTGTGTAGCTTTGTGCCTTTCCTGGAACTCACTCTGTAGCCCAGGCTGGCTTCGAACTCACAAATATCCACCTGCCTCTGCCTCCCCAGTGCTGGGATTAAAGGCGTGTGCCACCACCAACAGGCTCCTTTAGTGTTTTTGACATCTGTACCCATAAGCCTTTGACCTTGCTCTATCAGCACCCTGCCTCTGGGGCTGCAGCATTCCCGTGTGCTTCCTGGCCCAGGCTGGGCTATCACCCCTCCCCCCAACACCACTGCATCTGACCAAGCTCCCTACTTCCTCTCAACCCCTGTCTACTCCAGACAGCGTCCCTCTAATGCTCAAAGCCCTCTCCATTCCAACCTTAGGATGAGTAAGTAAAGTCCAGTCCCTCCCTGCCAGTGGTGGACCACTCTGCCTCGCTCCAACTACTTTGGCTTATCGCAATTCCTCTAACATTCCGGGCAGCTATCACCCACTTAGGAAGGAGCCTTTACCCAGTCTATTCCCCCGGCCTGAACTGTCTCCCCTCGATAAGGGCAAGGTGTCCTGATCGTCCTGAGGTCTTTGTGAACAGATCTTCCCAGAGTAGCCTTTGCCCCAGAGAAACACTGCCACCTCTCTTTATTCCCCTTGGCTTATGGCTCCTTTGTACCATGTCACCTTTTTCAGTTTGTGGCTGGCCTCCTATGAGGACAGGTAGTGTCCCTTCTTTCTGAGACCCTGGACTGGAGCTTGGCCTGTAGCAGAGGTTCAGTAAAGGAAGGAAGAAAGTTGCCTCTATACTAGCCCTTTCTTGTGGGGCTTAGAGGGCTCTACTAGACCTTCCTTCCTGGAGATCTGATTCTGCCCACATCTCTACTCAAGTAGCCTCAACCCCTGGCTCCTCCCCCATGAGTCTTGACTGACAGTTCAGCCTTTGCTCTGACCCGGCCACTGCCTATTCACGTTTGCTCCTCCACTCACAGGGCCCAACTCACCTGCTTCCATGGCCAGCACGGTAATGTTGTGCCAGCCGGCGGTTTCGCGGTCCAGCCCCTTGCCAGTCACTATGGCGCCAGTGTCTGCATCAATGTTGAAGATCTGCTCCAAATCCGAGTCACGGTCAATGGCATACCTGAGTGGGGGACAGGGTTGGGCTGATCAAATGTGCCCCAGTGTCAGGAGCCTGAGCCCATGATTTCCCTACTCCACCCTACTCCAAGAGAGGGACCACCCCCTAGAGACACAGAGCTTATCATCTCCCTGGAGCTGGTGATTGCTGGATCTCAGGGGTCAGTGGAGAGGGCTGAAGACCACATCCCCAGGACAGAGTCACAGATGTCTCTCTCTTTGCTTTCCTAAAAAGGAGGCCTCAGAAATGGGCTTCGCAGCGAGAGGGAGACAAGGGGGCTTTAGGGTTAGCAGAGGTGCCTGCGAACTGACTGTTCAGGGAAAATCAAAGGCTATAAAATGGCTGGGCTGGAGGTGGGGAGAGCGATTTAGGACCAGGAGTTGGGGTTCTGAGAATTTTGTGCAGGAGAGGGGGTAGAGGCAGGTTAGGATGCTTCTGGAGGCCAGGTGGTCCCCAGACCCAGGGCAGCTGAGCCTGGCCTGGGAGGGTGGGACTGTGGCTGCCCCTGCTCCTCCTGCCTGAACAGCACACTTGCTAATCTGCAGCTTTTCAGTTGCCGCGTGAAAAGGCCCTTTGTTCCGCCTTCTTCCCCGGCCTTTGTGCTTCGGCTCCAGGCCTGAAAGGCCCGTGTCCAACACATGTCTCAGGCGGCAGAGGCCCAGAGAGGCCCCGCCAGCGCCCGCCGCCACTTTCTGCACTGATAACACAGGCGGGGTGCCGTGGCTACGCACAGACAAAGGCCTGGCATGCAGGCAAAGGCGCATTGTGCAGCCAGGACAAAGCAGCCAGGCAGGGAGGAAAGCTCTGGCCTCTGCTCTTCCCTCAATCCTAGAGAGGGAAACTGAGGCCTGGGGGAAGCGATACCTGCAGGGTTCAAAGCCTTGAGAGACAGCCTTTGGAGAGGCCTGGGCTGCATGCAGGATCAAACCTCTTAGGACCTCAGTTTCCCCATCTCTCCCACAGGGATAATAGCAACGGTAAGGGTCTGAGCACACCATGCTGGCATTTCCTGTCACTCGTTCACCCTACGTGACCTTGAACCAGTCTTCCACCTCCTTAGGCTGTTTATATATCTAATTCAGAGCCACCTGGCACCCTGGTACGGATTGGGTGAAGTCGGGGGGAAGTGATTTCCTATTTGCTGTTGGGAGTGGGGTGAAGGTATGTGGCAGACTCGAGGGATTTGCCATGGGCAGAGTGGAATTTTTAAAGTGTGTGTGTGTGTGTGTCTCCATGTGTTCATGTATTCATTTGGGTGTGCCTGTGCTCATGAGGACCATGAGCAGTATCCTCTGTCACTCTTTACCTTTCTCCCTTATGACAAACTTTATACCTGGAGCTTGCTGCTTCGCCGTGCTGGTGTGCATGGTCACACATGTCTTTTTACATGGGTGTTGAGGATTTGAACTCAGGCCCTCAGGCTTTTTCAACAAGTGCTCTTACCCACTGAGCCATCTCCCCACCCCCCCAGGCATCATCTCTTCCTGCCTTGGATTGCTGAGTGTACCTCCTCTTGCCCCTGGCTAGCCAGGGGTGCTACTTGGAAGTTCAGACTCCAGCTGACCCCCTTTTCCTGGCATGCATCGGACAGCTCTGAGATTACACTTTCCAGCCGTCCCCAGCTTGGACCTTCATGACCTGAACATCAAGCAAATGCCTTCTCTGGGCTGTTCAGGGTTGTAAGAGAACAGGACCCTGCCAGACACCACGCTCTTTGCTCATCACCCCCAACTTACATCACCGAAGCTCCCAGGATAAACTCAGCTGAGTGTGGTTGTGTTGTGCACAGGACACTGTTCTACTAGCTAGGTCATGATTCCCAGCCTTGAGCACATCTTCTCAGGGGGCCTGTCTTTATTTACATTAAGATGCCATGTGGATCCTCTATGACCCTCCCAACTAGGGGTGCATAATTTCTCTGCTGTAGAGTTAGACTCTGCACCCAGAGGTGGGACTCCAGAGCCAGAGTTCTTTGGGGCTTGTTGAACTTACCAAAGAAAGTCTCAATGCCTGGAGCCTTGGGTCCCCTTGGCCCCCAGCCTGACCCTGCCAGGTATTTGCATGGGAAGGAGGTGGAACAAGACTCATCTAGGTGCTTGCTCAGTTGAAAGGAATCCTGGAGGGCCACGCTCATTTGCAGGTGGAGGGGTGGAGGTAAGGGTGCTGAGGGAGACAGGACTGAGGAGAGGTTATTTCATATTTGCTGTTGGGGGTGGGGTGGGGTGAAGACATGTGGCAAACTGCAGAGGGATGTGCAATGGGTAGAGTGGAGTTTTAAAAGTGTACATGCCAGGTGGTGGTGGCGCACGCCTTTAATCCCAGCACTTGGGAGGCAGAGCCAGGCAGATCTCTGTGAGTTCCAGGCCAGCCTGGTCTACAGAGTGAGATCCAGGATGGGCACCAAAACTACATGGAGAAACCCTGTCTCGAAAAACAAACAAACAAAAAAATGGGTTTTTCCAACAACCCATTTAGCTATGGACTCACCAATGGAGTAATCCTTTGATGAAGTCAGCGCCCCTAAGATCCAATGCCTCTCCTCCCTCTCCTGTTCTCCTCTTCCCCATTTCTCTTCCTCCTCTTCTTCCCCATTCTTTTCACCCTTCTCTCCGCCCCTCTAGTCTTTTTTTTTCCTTAGAGGGGATGGCAGAGGCTGGAGCCTAAGAATAGGCAGCTGTACCCAAGGCCACAGGTGGGGACACTGTAGGGACCATTAGCCAGTTAAGACCTAGGGGACTGGCCTCAACCCTGGCTGTCTGGCTTCTAGCCTTGGGAGCCAGTGAGTGAGTGGGAGAGAAGGGCTCCCTGTGGGGCAAGAACTGCCTGGCAGGCAAGGGAAGGGGGAAGCGGGCACACCTTATGTGCATGTGCACAGCCATGTGTCCTGTCTGAGCTGTGGGCAGGAATGCATGTCTGTGGTGTGACTGTGAGTGGGCATGTGTGTGGGACACTATGCTGAAGTTGGAACAGCAAAGACTTGAGCATCCTTGGCTCCACCCTGGTCTGTGACCAGGCCCTCTGTCCCCAGACAGGTCACTTCCCTCCTTGCAGCCACACTCAGCACACTGTGCCAGGCGCTCTCCCGGGAACTTATTTCATTTCTCCATTCTAGCGGCACATTGGCTCCCTGTTCGCCTGCCTCAGGACCCTTGCTCTTCCTGCTCCTTGGAATGCCCTCCCCACATGTCCACACTCTGGCTACGTCATCCTGCCTTCTGTTCACCTCCCCCCACCAGGAGTCTGACCACTCAGTGCAAAGTGACCCCCTGTGACCTCAAATCCCGCGGACCCTCTTAGTGCATCCTCTCCATAGCCTGTATCAACACTTAATAACTGCTGATATGGACGGGAGCCCGTCTTAGCGCATGCAACAGTGACTCTTAGGTGGCCTGCAGACCCTTCTCGGCTGCACACGGTCCAGCACTGGCCTTGCTTCTTCGGGTCTGTGCCCCACAGTCAGGGAGCTCTGCCTTGGAACTGCCCTTGGTTGAGTCCCGGCATGTCCCCAGGCCTGGCTCTGAGTTGTGCAAGGGAAGCCGAGCGAATGTTTGCGGTGCTAAATTGGAGCTGTCTCAAGCTCCCTGCAGGCTCTTCCACATCTGAGGAGCACCAGGGAAGGGGCCAGGCACAGGGAGATGAAGGAGGGTGAGTCGTTGGTTTCAAAGTCTGTCCCTTCAGCAGGGATGAAAGAAGAGGAGAGGGAGTGGAAACGGAGAGGAGGGAGCTGCAGACAGGAACATGACCCGACAGACGGCCCCTCATCCTGCCCCACCCCGTGATGCTTGCAGAAGCCAACCTGCTCGGGTCTCCAGTTTTCTGAGAAACCCGGGTGACACTGTCCTCTCGGAAGAAGGCTGGGGCCAGCCAGAGGCCAAACAGTATCTAAAGGCTGTGCCTGACGGCGGGAGACAAAGGGCTGTGGCCACATGCTAGGCTTCAGCCTGGAAGGTGAGCTCCTATCCCACCTGGGAGGCCCTGGTGCCTTACCCCTTTCTGTAAACTATTGCCTCAGGCTCCTGACATCTGCACAAACCTTCCTCTACCCGGAATGGAGCCCAGCTCAGGTCCATTCCTGCCAGTTCCAAGAATTCTTCCCATGTCCCCGAGGCTTTCTCTCAGTCTGACAGACTATGGCAGCTAAGTGAGATGGGATCTTTGTATCTTGTTGGCTAGGGCTGGTACAGGCTGGGCCCTGCACAATTCTAAGAGGCCTGTCAAGACAGATTATGGCAGAGTGTCTGGAACTGCACACCACAATCTTTAAACTCCCTTCTCCTCAGTCCCCGCAGAGCTCAGCTTGGCCCATTAACTGTGTAGCAGGGAGTTGGGGAAGAACCTCTTCCATGTCCATCTGACACCAGCTAATCCTCCCACCCGGCCCTTTCTCGGCGTCCACGTCTACCACAACTGCCGTCCCCTCTCTTCTGTCTGAGTTTTCCAACCAGGGCCTCTCTAAAGTCCGCAGTTCACAAGTCCCCGCAGCGTCCCCCATCACTGCCCTGCCTCTGCCTCAGACAGGTCTGAGCCTGGCTCTTGATCGACCCACCCTCTCTCTAGAGTCCCTCTTGTCCTCGCTGCCTGGCAGGTCCCTCAGCCTTCTCTTTCCAGGCTCTTCACCGGGTTCCTCTCTTTCAGGGCTGGTCTCCTCGTCTCTTTTCTCTGTCTTGTTTCGGGTCTACTTCATTCTCTACTGTTCAGGGAGTGTGCAGGGGTGCTGGGCCTGTGAGCTGGTAGAGGTTTCCATCCTCTGGGTACTGGTTCAGTGAGGGCAAACAAGGATTGGTAATCGCGGACATCAGGAAATCACAAGTTAGGAAGTGAGCTGTGTGGAGGAGGAATATGGAGGGGAGTGGGAGGGGCTGGGGCAGGGTGGCATGGGGTGGCATTGGGGGCAGGGGCCAAGGAAGGCTTTTAGAGAGGGATACTGTTGAGCAAAGGGAGAGAGAGGCTAGAGATCTGGTCCCAGGGGCAGCCACAGCATAGGCCCTGAGAAGGGGCTGAGAGGAGCTGGAACCCACAGAGTCAAGAGGAGGGGAGCATGTGGGGGGAAGGCCTGGAGGTTTCTGGGACGTTCAGGGTCAGGTTGAGGGTCAAGGTGAAGTCTGACTGAATTCAAGAGGAGGGTGAGGAGCAGAGGAGGCCAGGGTTAGCTCCACACTGGAGCAAGACCTGGCTGTCTCCTGTTGAGGACAGAGGCTGGGAGGGCTAGCCAGGCGACATGCCGGCTTGAGCCAGGCTGTGACCACAGCTGGGGAGTTCAGGGCGAGAACTCTGGCTACATTTTGAGGTCGAGACTTATAGATGGATGAGAGACAGACAGACGGAGAGAGGGGCGTGGTGGTGGAGGAGAGAACACATGTGGCCGAAAGGGCAGAGAAGCCTTGTAGAAGGGATGCCTTAAGAAAACAGGGGCCTGTTTTGCTTGGTTTTGCTCCTTCTGAACGTGGTGAGGGGTTGTCCACTGAGGCCTGGGGTGGGCTGGTGAGGGAGGAACCGGGACTCTGGCACGCTGGGCACTGGCTCCCCATTTTTGTCCCTGTCTTGCCCGGAACTGCCCTTTTTTTTTTTCTTCCTGGGCTCTCTGGCTCCTAGGATCCCCCCTCCCCTCTGCCTTCAGTCTGCTGGGGTTGTGCATGTCAGGACAGCAGGCAGCAGGCGTGGCCCCGGGCGGGGGTCTCACCGGACGGGCCGGTTGGCGGCGTCGGGGTCCCGCGCCGTCACCACGCCGACCAGGGAGCCCACCTGCGCGTCCTCCTGCACCTCCAGGAGGCCGGAGGGTGGCCGGAACTCGGGGGGCTCGTCCACGTCAGTCACGGCCACGCGCACGATTGCTTGGTCTCGGAATGTGCCCAGGTCCGCGAAGCGGGGGTCCACAAACTTGTTGAGGGCTTCCAGCACCACCGTGTGCACCTGCTGCGACTCGAAGTCCAGGCGCTGGGGGAGGCAGAGAAGGCCGGTCAGTGACGGGCCTGGGGGCTGATGGCATCGTCAAGAAGGGGCACACAAATGGTCACAGTTGGCTCAGCCCACCATAGAGTTGGCCGTCAGAGGCCCAGACCAGCCCTTTCCGGTGTAAAGGGGGCTCCTAGGGGACTGTTTTTGCCTGGAAACACACAGGCACCACTTTAAAAGGCCCCAATCCCCAGGTTGCTTGCATCCCCACTCAGTATGTTTTCATCAGTCACTCCATTTAATAGCCACCTGTAGGACCAATATGGCAGCGATCTCCTTTTACCCATGAGGAAATTGGGATCAGAAGGGCACAGCGACACCCTGAGCAGGTGGCCCCTGGAACAGCCAAGAATCAAAGCCAGGCTGTTGGGGCTCCCGAAGCCAGGAGAGAGAAACGGGCACAAAGATCTGCAGGCCTCAGCCCTGGGTTCCAGCCCTGGCTGTCTGCAGCCAGCCATGAGCTGACTGTGGACAATCAGATGGACCCTTTTGGCTTTGAGGGAGTGAATGAAGTTCCCTAAGGGGAGAGCACCTTGACTGAGCTTGGCTCTAGCCTTCCGAAACAGATGAAATCAAGGGCAAAGCTTTAGTTACTATGGTCACGTGATATGGGGGGCGGGGCTTTCTGGAGTCCCTAAGCCTATGTCTGCCTGGCATATGGGGTCCCTTACCTAACAGCACAGATTACCTTTTTTCCCTGTCCTGTTGCCCGAGCAATTGGGATGCAGCTGGGCGCTGCCCTAGGAATGAACGATGGCATCTACAGCCAGGCCATTCATCAGGCGGGGCTCTGCCAGGCTCTGGAGCCATGGCTGACTCCACAGACACCTCAGGCGCCTACTGGAGCCACCACACTGCAGATCATGGGGATGAGGCATCCCTGAGGAAGAGAGAAAACTAGCTTGCTGGGGTGAATTCTGACGCTTTGGACTGCTAGGAAACTATGGAGTGCTGTGGGCTGCTCTGGGCCTCTGATTTCCCATCTATGACACGGGACAGTCTCATAGCTGGGGCACATGGGGATCAAAAGACTGAAAATTGATTAGATTCTGCAGCTAGAGCCCTGAGCTTGTGTTCCTATAGGGCTGTCCCAGTTGAGTGACCTTGGCAGGGTACTGAACCCCTTGCTTGGGGCACACAGAGGCCTGCAACAATGTGTGGACTCAGGCAGGGGACTTGGGCAGGGGACTCGAGCCTTCCACCGGGGAGCACGACCGAGGGCGTAGTCCTCAAGGCCTGGCACCCTGAGTCGTCACAGTTATGGCCAAGTCCTGGAAGACAGGTCCCTGCTTTGTTCTGAGACCTCCTTCCCCATCCTCTCAGAAGCACTGGGTCTGCCAGGCTGAGCTTTCCAAGTCATCCACGGGAAAGCACAATGGCTGGATGCAGTGGGGGAAAGGCTTGGGTTCGAATCTCAACACTGTCTCTTCCAGATGTGGAAGCCCCTTTCTCTTTCTCGACCTTTCTCACTAGTCAATATGCGGATGACCTTCCTTTCAGACAGAAACATGGGGATTAAAGGAAATGACCTGGGAAGGGCCAGGGCTGTGCTGAAGTAGGCCATGACGATGTTTAGGAGCATGGGCTCAAATCTGAATCCACAAACAGCTGCGCAACCTTGGGTAGGATCACTTATCCTCTCTCAATGAGACATCGAGCCCTCAGCCCCGGAGGTGGGGGAAGTGAGAGCCCCTCGCTCGAGAGACCCTCGCTCCAGAGCCCCTCGCTGCCACGGCTGGCCCAGGCACACGCCTTCCCACCCTGCCCAAGGCAGCCTCACCTTCTGAACTACTATGATGGCCTCCTGAGTGTCGCTGTCCGTGGTGACCTTGAACGCATCTCCTCCACTGCCGCTTTCTTCTCTCAGGTGGTAAGTCATGTCTGTGTTCTCGCCCACATCTGAGTCCTCGGCCTTCACTCGGCCCACAGCCGTGCCGATGGGTGCTGACTCCTGTATGCTGAACTGGTACATCTCTGTGGGGGACATGCCAGGAGGTTGACCCTGGTTTCTGCCAGCGCTGGGGAGAGGAGGAGGGGCCTGGGTATGCCTGGGAGATTTGTATCTGCAGGGGTGCTGCCCTGGCCAGGTGGGGATTTCAGACTGCAATGGGCCTGTCTTCTGAAGGGCAGAGGCCATGTGATTGGAAGTCTTTCATTCCACCCCCAGGGTTCTTGGTTGACACTATGGGGACATCCCTGTCATCCTTGAGGCCTGTTTCTCCACCTGCCTGGCAAGGGGGACAGAAGAAGTTTATCATGAGGGTTGAGGCTCTGGAGCTGGTTTTGACCTGTACCTCTGAGCTTCAGTTCCCTCATCTGTGAAATGGGAAGAACACATTCCTCAAGCAGTGGTTACTATGACAATGCAGATGTCGCTACCTGTGAGATGTGAGGAACTGTGCCCTGGACCACATGGAAATGACTGGCTGTGGCATCTCACACAGACAGCATCATGTCACCTCCTAGAAGCGCCTCTGATGACCCAGACAGTGTATGGTAGAAGAGGACAGAGCCTCACTGATAAAGGGGTGAGGGGATGAGCCCAAAGCAGCAGACAGCTGGGAAAACACGTTCTAGAGGAGATGACAGGTGTGAACACCCTGAAGCGGGCACTCTCTGGCAAAGATGGCCTGGTGACTGAAGGGGGACAGATGACACACTAGTAGCATCCTCCTATCTGACCAGAACCAAGGTCAAGGTAAGAGTGGTTTGCTGAATGAGGGGTCAGCCCAGGTGACATTTGGGAGTTTGCCGTTGGTGCCTTGAATGCCCGGGAGACCTTGTGTGCAGTGGCTGCCTCTTTCTCATGCCCACACAGCAGCCTTGAGAGGATCCTTGCTCTGATAGCTCCCCGCTGCCCTTGGGGTAGACATGGGAAGTCCCTCAGCCCTGCAGCCAGCCCGTCACAAACCTGCTGTGGTTCCTCCCTTCTGGATGGCCCAGAAGGCACAACTCAGGGCTTGCCTGTACCGGCTCTCCCCTTCTCTCCTCACTTTGCCCTTTGGGGACCCTTCCTATATCTTCAGCTGCTTCTGCCCGCCCCTCCCGGGGTGCCCAAGAACATCCTAGCAGGTACTACTGCCCACCTCTCAAACTCTCTCTCCTCAAGGCCGAACGTGAGCTGTGGGAGACGAGGGTCGTGGTGCTCATTCACCAGGCGCAGGGGGCTGTCTCGTGGGTGGGCTGTGTTAAGGAGTGGTGAGCGACTAAATAAAAGCCAGCAGAAGTTACAAGTGGGCAGTCTCCAGGAGCTCCTAGATTAAAGAGTCTAACTACACTCAGTGTTGGTGGGGACGTGGTACAAAGGATAAGCACATTTCTTCATGAGGAAACACTTCTTAGCAATACTAGAGAAGTGTTTGCAGAAGGGCACTCGGAGACACAGGCAACTAGGTTCCAAGTTCACAACAGCTCCATCTAGAAACAAGCCAAGTATTCAGCAGGACAGATACGTGGGAATACTATACAGCAAAGAAAAGGAACAGTTAGAAGAAAGAGCCTGAGAATAGGAGTGTGATTTTGAAAGTCAAAGGCACACAGCAGTGTATATCACATGGTTTCACTTATTTGAGGTTCACAAAGGGGCGGGAGTAGACTATGGTGCTTGGTAGAGAGGAGGGCAGAGTCTCAGAAAAGCACAGAAATGATGGTGACAGGCAGAGTGGTGGCTGGTGCTGGTGGAGAAGGAAGATGCTGTGGCTGAGAAAGGCACACAGGGGATTCTGGGTCCTGCTGGTGGGGCCAAGTGCCAGCTTTGGGCTTTTCTATTTTTTGCCCTTCTGTCCTCTATAGTTACAGAAAAGAAATGAGGGAGGGAGAGAAGAGAAGAAGGAAGAAAGGGAGGGGAGGAGGGGGGAGGGAGATAGAAGAAAGAGGAGGGAGAGAGGAATGCGTCAAGCAGCCTTTCTGGCTGGGCCTCCTCTCTGCTCTGACCCTCATGTAGAGCCTGCTGCCCCGAGCCTAGTACTGTTTATTGGCTGGCCTGGAGCTTTCCCTTCTGGAACAGGAGTGCTGGGGCCTGTCTGCTTCTGGCCCCCTGTCTGTAGCCTGTGCTGGGGCCTGCCTGCCCCTGGCCCCCTGTCTGTAGCCTGTGCTGGGGCCTGCCTGCCCCTGCCCCCTGTCTGTAGCCTGTGCTGGGGCACACCCTGTGCTGAACGGCTGAGGTGGTAGGCTGCTTGAGCTCAGCTAAGGGATTGTGTTCGCTTATCTTATGGGGGTCAGTCCCCTGTGGCGGGGCCTAATATGAGAGCAGTGGACCTCGGGTAATGACTCGCCTGATAGGAATCAGCTGGCTCCCGGCGGCATTTAGTCTCTGCCAGCTGCAGCTGCAGCTTCCCTGTGGTGGCTGGGCCTGAGCCGGGACAGCCCTGCTAGTCAGGCTAATAGGCAGGTGGGGGCCAGATCCAGAGAAGCTGCCTATCCTGACTTGTGCCAGAAGAGGCAAGCCTCCCAATTCATCGGCACAGACTGCTAGCCTCCAGGCTCCAGGAGGAGGGAGACCTTGACCTCAGATCAGCTTTCCTGGGCTTAAGTATGGGTGTCCCTCTGCCTGGGTGCAGTGGTTGCCCCCTTCTATCTAGACCCCGGTGAGCCTTCAACACCTCTTTACAAGCTTGGGTCGGGGATCTAGCAGTAGCTAGGGGGCCCTGAAGGGCCAGCAAGAGGGCAAATGAATGGCCAGAGGGTGAGCAGGGCTTCTCAGGTGGGGAGGCTACAGCAGTTTTTCTGTCTGCAAAACCAGATTGGCAAGGGTTTCCCTCTGTGGGAAGCAGGCTTGGAGGAGCACCCAGGTGACGGTCCCCCTTCAGGCAGGAAGCTCTAAGGGAAGCTGGACCAGCAGGCTCTCAGGCAGACAGACATACACATAACCCCACTTACTCTGTGGGAAGCGGGGCGGGTTGTCATTGACGTCAGTAACCACGATGGTGACTGTAGTAGAGCCCGAGAGGCCACCCAGCTGGCCTGCCATGTCTGTGGCTTGGATAACCACCTCATAGCGTTCCTGGCTCTCACGGTCGAGGTCAGGTACAGCTGTCCGGATCACACCTGTGGGTGAGGGAGAATGGGGCCATGGTGGCAGACTCTGGCAGGGCTCAGCCATGCTGGGCTGTGTACCAAGGGTCAAGGGAGAGCCATGGGTGCAAAAGACACACGTGGCATGGTGGTTTGAACGAGAACGGCTCCCAAAGATTATATATTTTCATGTTCGGCCCACAGTTGGTGGAACTGTTGGGGAAGCATTGAGGGGTGTGGCCTTGTTGGAGGAGGCGTGGCCTTGTTGGAGGAGGCGTGGCCTTGTTGTTGGAGGAGGCGTGTTACTGGGGGTGGGCTTTGAGGTTAGTGCTGCCTCTGCTTGTCAATCAGGTAAGCTTCTCAGCTACTGCTTCAGTACCATGACTGCCTGCCTGCTGCCATGGTTCTTACCGTGATGGTCATGGATTTTTAACCATTTGGAGCTGTGAGCCCCCAGTTCAATGCTCGTGGTGGAGATTGTTTGACAGGGTCTCTCTGTGTAGACCTGGCTAGTCTGGAACTCACTGTGTAGACCAGGCTGGCCTCTGCCTCCTGAGTGCTGGGATTAAAGGTGTGCACCCACCATGCCCGGTTAAATGCTTTCTTTCATAGGCTGCCTTGGTCATGATGTTTTGTCACAGTAATAGAAAAGTAAATTAAGACGTTTGGCCATTGGGACCCACAGAGCTCATCAGCCAGAGCACACTTGCACACAGACACCTCACACATATTCCCACAGGGCACAATCACGGACAGACAGGTGAGTTCTCTGCACCCCCTCTCTCTCTCTCTCTCTCTCTCTCTCTCTCTCTCTCTCTCTCTCACACACACACACACACACACACACACACACACACACACACACACGCGCGCGCGCGCGCTATGCGCGCGCGCGTGCCTCTACACACCTACAGACTAACACTCTGCCACACATGTGCACAAACTTCCACATACAGAAGACCATTTGCTTTGCTGAGAGGAGACCTGTGGACCAGATCTGCCCCTGGGAATCTGCCCCGAGTAGCCAGTCCTACCATGGGTCTGTTTCCCCCAGGATCAGGTATCTGCCTGGCTTGTTGGTGACCTATAGAACTTGGTACCAAGCAACTTCTCAGGGTGTTTAACATATAGGCAACAATCACTGAGGGTCATGCTCCATTCATGCACAGGTGCATGCCTCACACATATGGACTGCAGTCACACACATCTGTTCACGTGCACCCCTGCCCATCCCCCAGCCCTCTCCAATACCCCAAGCCTGGGTTCTCTGTCCAGGCCACAGAGAAGGGCTGGGACCATCTTCCAAGCTGCCCATGGTAGCCGAAATGGTAATGCTGAAGGCTAACTCTGTAGAGAAGATGGCCAGGCCTCATTTCCTGTCAGTGTAAGAAACCTGGTCAGGAGGGGGAATTGATGAGGCATTCAGAGCCTCTCCTGACACCCCCTCCCACCTGCCAAGCACAGGTGGTGACAGGTGGCGCCTGGGCCTAAGCACCAGGTGGAGTCATGCACCAGCAGCCCCAGGATGCGCCCCATAAAACCTGTGCTCCAACTCCTGATGTCCCCAAGTCCCTGGATTCCAGTAAAGGTGATGGGACAGGAGGAGAGGCTGTGGGGTGGTGTGTGTGTTTGTGTGTGCATTGTGTGCGTGGTGTGTATTGTGTGCCCAGAGTAGGCAGTACTCGGGGTGGTCCACTTTTGTAATTGTGGGGGGGAGAGGAAGGAAAGAACATGAGGGAAAGAAGGAAGAGAGGAAGGGAGGGGGGAGAGAGAGAGAGACAGACAGACAGACAGAGAGACAGAGAGACACACAGAGAGAGACAGACAGAGAGACACAGAGAGAGACACACACAGAGAAACAGAGAGAGAGACACAGAAAGAGAGAGAGACAGAGAGAGACACACACACACAGACACACACACACACACACACACACACACACACACACAGAGAGAGAGAGAGAGAGAGAGAGAGAGAGAGAGAGAGAGAGAGAGAAGCCATGGACCCTGAGAAAGAGACAGAGACCTGGAGGAAGGGACAGCAGAAGAGACTAGGGAAGAGAGACATTTGGGGAGGGGAGACCTCTTGAGACAGAAAAGGAGAGAAGAGAAGCAGGGAAAGTGCCCTGTCCAGAGAGAAGAGAGGAGAGGGAAGAGATAAGGGCATCACTTGTCGGAGCCAAAGCAAGTGGCTAAGGCCAGCTCTGGGAGTAAGGACAAACGGCAGACAGGCATAGTGGCCTCCAAGCTTACAGGTGAGGTCCAAGGCAGGAAAGCAAGGAAGAAAGCTAACTCTGCTGTTGTTTTTTGAGAGAGGGTCTCATGTACCTCAGGTTGGCCTTGAACTCCTGATCCTCCTGCCTCCACCTCCCAAGTGTTGGACTACAGCTATGTGCCACCATGTCTGGCAGGGAGCTGAGAAGCCAGACACTTTACATCTAGGGATATACTGAATGACAGTCTGGTAGCAGGATTTAGGGCCACCATGTATCTCAAAGCTCTTCATCCCCAGCTCTGAGTGGAAACTGGAGCAGAAGTCTGGCTCTACCTGAGCAGGTGAGGTGGGAGGCCTCATGTAGCTAGCTTCTCTGTTGTCCCCACTCCAGAGAGACTGGGGACATAATATCTCATAGAGCATGTGGTTCAGGAGCCTCTGGGCTCCTGGAGTGGGAAACAGGGGCCATGTGGCCTCTGGACACTGTCTGGAGTCACACACCATGTGAAGTTGCTATGGAGATAGTCTCTGATAAAACACAACCCAGTTTCCACAACCTTGGATAATTCCTGCTCACTGAATATGGCCTTGGGCATGTGGTGTGCTCTGGCTTAGGGACAAGTCAGAGGAGTGTAAAGTCTTGAGTGCTGGGGTCTTTTCTCTGGGAATCCAAAGGCCCCTGCATGCTGAAGCAACCCAGAATGTAAGGGACTTGGTGAGAGGTCTAGGTCTGCCAGCTGAGTCAGCCCTCAGCTGCCCGACACTCAAGGGCTATTCCACGAATGACCCCCAAGAAAGAGCTGCTCAGCTAGCCCACACAACTGTGACAGAGAATAAACCATCGAGCCACAAAGCTTGGCTTATCTTGGTACAGCCTTAGGTAACTGATAGAGAAATCCGATTAGCTGAGCCGTTCCTGAGCTAATTCATGTAGCTGTGTCTAACTGAGGGTCAGTTTGGCTGAGAGGTCCAAGATGACCTCAGCCTCCCTCCTCCGTCTGCGGGGACACATGAGCTCCCTCTCCCTCCAGGAAGCTGGCATCCTTCTGTGAGCTCTCGGGGCTGTGTTCTAGAACAGAAGTTGAAGGCTGCGGGGTGGCTCAGGGGGTAAAGGAGCCCACCCGTGAGCCTGGTGACCTGGGTTCTGTTCCCACATGGTAGAAAGAGAACCAAGTATCACATACACACACACTACCCTCTACATGTGTGCTTACACACGTGTGCACATACACAATGAAGACACAAATAAATGTTAAAAAAAGGTAAAGACCTCTTAAGAACGGATCGTGGAATCTACATAACATATTTCTATCATTTTCTGTTGGGCCAAAGTAAACCGCCAGATTCAAGGGTGCAGAAGTGGACTCCACATCTCAATAGTTAGCAGGGATAGTGGGGAGAGAGGAGGCGTGAGGGGGCAAACAAGGCACACCACAGCGAGCCCTCTGTATCTGCATTAGCAGATTTTAAATTCGCAGGTTCATCCTCGGACACAGCCAACTATATATGGAAAACAGGAAGGAGATGACTGCGTCTGCGCCGCACGCATAGCGCTCTCCCCTCAATGCCATTCCCCGAACAAGAGAGTGAGACACCGATTTCCTACATCTGCTTCATGTGCAGTGCCATCAGCCCTCCAGGGATGACTTAGGGTACATGAAAGGATGCGTGAGGTGACATGCCAGCACCACGCCACCTTATGCTCCAACAGCCTTGCAGTCTTGGAGTCAAGCCCTGTCAGATGCCAAGAGATGGATGTCCTCAGTGGCAGTGCGCAGGGAGGAGGGCGTATGGAGGTACAAAGTTCCCAGATCGGGCCATGATCTTATCCATTCATTTATTCATTTATTCACTTACGCTCGCGGAGGATTGTGATATGCTGGGAACACTCAGCATTGGACATGAGGAGTGTAAAAAGGATCAACTTGGGCCAGATAGACACAGGTGTGGTTATTCTTTCCACTGTTTACACACCCTGACTTTGGGCAAGTTCTTGGGTCTGTCTGAGTCTGTTCCCCATTCCGTAAAATGAAGCTATCCACTGTGATAGCTTCTTGCCAGGATCCAGAATTACGTAGGAGGCAGGTCTCTGGGTACACCTGTGGAGGATTATCTTGATTATGTTAGTTGAGCTAGGAAAACCCATCTTAATGATGGGTGGGACCATTCCTGGACTGCAGAGGGAGAGGAGGAGCACAAGCTTGCTTTCATCCTTCTCCGGTTACAGACCGAGGATGCAATGTGACCAGCCACTTCAAGCTCCTGCTGCCTCAATTTCCTGTGGCGATGGACTGTGAATAGAAATGAACCCTTTCTGGCACTTTTCATCTCCTTTCCTTTCCTTTCCTTTCCTTTCCTTCCCTTTCCTTTCCTTTCCTTTCCTCTTCCTTCCTTCCTTCCTTCCTTCCTTCCTTCCTTCCTTCCTTCCTTCCTCCCTCCCTCCCTCCCTCCCTCTCTCTCTCTCCCTCTCTCTCTCTCTTCTCTCTCTCTCTTTCTTCTGTCTGTCTTTCTTTCTTTCTTTCTTTCTTTCTTTCTTTCTTTCTTTCTTTCTTTCTTTCTTTCTTTCTTTCTGGCATTTTATCATAGCAAGAGATGACGATACTTGCTCTGGGGGTTGCTGAGGCATAGATGAGACCATGTCTCACTTTTTAAAAATTATTTGTGTGTGTGTGTGTGTGTGTGTGTGTGTGTGTTTGAATGAGATGTTCTTCATAAGTCTCAGGCATTTGATTACTTGGTCCCCAGTTGGTGGCTGTTTGGGGAGGAATTAGGAGGTGTGTCACAAACGGTGGACTTCGAGATTGAGTGTGCTCTCTTTACTTTCTGACTGTGATATGAAATGTTAGTTCTCAGCTGTTCCTGCAGCCATGCCTCCTCTCGGCCATTGTGGAGCCTATCCGTCTGGAACCATTAGCCCAAATAAACCTTCGTGAGTTGCCTTGGTCATGGTGTTTTATCACAGTAACTAAGGAGTGTGCTTGAGGGGTGCGGGCATACACATGCCACAGTGCACCTGTTGAGGGCAGAGGACAACTGAGTGTCCATTCTTGCCTTCCATCTTGCTTAAGACAGGGTCGCTCATTCACTGCTTTGTACCCCAAGCTTCTGGGAGTTCTCCTGTCTCTGCCTCTTACCTCACTATGGGACTGCTGAGGTCACACACACACACACACACACACACACACACACACACACACACACACACACACACCTGGCTTTCCATGGTTCTAGGAATCTGAACTCAGGTCCTCAAGCTTGCATGGCGAACACTTTACCCATGGAGCCATCTCTTCAGCCCCAGGTCTCACGTTTTAGAGACTTCCCACACATCTTTTTCTTTGCATCCTGGGTTGGACACCCCCATGGACAAGCCCCAGGCAAAGGTGCAGCTGATCTTGTGTCAACGTAAGGATATCTACAGTCTTGGGATGAAGTGCTCAGTTAGCACTTGGACTGCCTGAGTGGCCTTCTCTGCCTCCTGCCTGTCCCCCTCACCCCGATGGCTGTTTCCAGTTTCTCTGTCAGAGCAGAAATCTATGAGGGTAGAAGAGGAGCCAGGTTCACCACCCTGACCCCAGGATCCAACGCACAACAGATGCGTAGCAAGTCCGAGTTTTGTCCCCTCTAGGCCCAGTGGCCGTCCCTGGCACAGGTGTGAATTTTCAGCCAAGATCATGACAGGGGCTGGCAATTATAACTGGCCACGGCTGCCCAGTGCCCCCAGTCCCAGCTGTTGTCTTCACCAACCCTCTATCTCCTCCAGATGCTGCAGAGGGGGCTCTGGAGCCTGTGTGACGCCTCATTAGCCTCCAAATGCCATCCCTGTCGCCCCTGTGGGGGGGCTGGCTGGCAGGCCTGGCCTTTAAAACACACAAGTTAATTCCTCCTCTGGCACTTGGCCCCGTGGCGCGGCCCCTCCTCCTCCCTTCCTCACACCTTCCCCTCAGGCCTCGTTGCGGCTCTGCTCCCTGCTAGCTGCGCAGTGAGAACAGACTGTACCTCGCAGCAGCAGCTAAATATAGCCCCGCATCGGCAGAATATTCCTGGCTGGGGAACGGGCTGGGGCTGGCAGTGGTGCCAGGGTGACTCTGGCGGTGACGCTGGGGTACAGAGGGAAGACCCAATGCATCCTGGGAAATGCCAGCGTGGACCCTTTCAGACCCAGAAGTTGAGATTCAAACAAGGATTCCACTGGGACTCTTCCACCCGGCTTGAAATGAGCCCCCTTCCTGGCTTCCAATAAACTGTTTCTGTTTTACTGGACCTTTGGATTCTCACCTGTCACACCCCTTCTGAGCTTGGGGGTTGCCCCTAAGAAAGAGGAAGCCTCTTCACTCTCATTATGCTCTAACCTGTCACCTACCTGTCCTTGCCACCTCCCAAGATTCAGTCCTGGCCCTCCTAAACCCCCAGCCTCCCCCCTGCAAACAAACATAATCTTACTCTTGCCTTTGACTACATAGCTTAGGCTGGCCTCAAACTCATAGAGATCCGTGCACCAAGGCCTGTGTTGAACACAATGGACACTCCTTGTCCTTATGACCTTACTGCTTATCCCTAGACATCCCCATGACCCTCGCCTCATCTGGTTCTGGGCTCCAATTCTGACATCTCCATCTTATCCTTTACACTCCTTGCTGGAAGTCATTGCTGCCCGACACGCAGCTTCGGTCAGTGCACTTATTTTCTGCATTTCTTTCTCTGCTAGAAACCCCAGAAATGCAATCTTGGATGACCCTGCTGCTGTCTCCCCAGTGCCTAGTGCACAGCCAGGCCTGTAGTGATCACTCCATCAGTATCGGAATGAACCAAAGAGGTCTCACCCCACATTCCCACAAGCTCATGAGTACGGGGTGAGGGGTGTGCACTAGAGCTGAAGACGCTGAAGAGAGAGAAAGGGGGTGCAGTGGGTTCCTACAAGGGGCAGACATCATGTAGGATGGAGCCCCTGATTCCTCCCTTACCCTACCTACTCTCCTATCGTCACAGGAGACTTCAGAAGCCTCGACCATTTTCAGAGCTTCATGTCCATAATTTAGATGAACAGCTGAAACTTCTAGAAGTTTTTTTTCTTCTCTTCCCTCATAACTTTGGCACAGTTAAAGCTGAATTATCATCTTAAAATACTTGTATATTTTTATATGTATGAATGCTTGCCCATGAGTATGTGCACCATGTGCATGCAGTCCCTGTGGAGGCCAGAAGAGGGCGTCAGATCCCCTGGAACTGGAGTTATAGATAGTTATAAGTGTCCATCTGGTGCTGGGAACTGAACTTGGATCCTCTGGAAGATAAGCCAGTGCTCTTAATTGCTGCATCGTCTCTCCAGTCCCTAAGGTTGGGTTCTTTAGTTCTGCTCCAGACCCTGGGACACATTGGTCAGTCCCTCTACTGAAGATGGCTCTTAACTCACTTCATCCTGTTTCCATGGGAGGCAGCCCTGACCTTCACGACTATGGGAGAGTAGGTTAAGGGAGGATTCGGGGCTCCAGGCTGCCTAGTGTCTGCCCCTTGTAGGAACTCACTGCACCCTTTCTCTTCAGTATCTTTTTTTTTTTTTTTTTTTTTTTAATAATTTATTTTATGTGCATTGGCCTGCATGTACATCTATGTGAGGGTGTCAGACACTGGAGTTATTATAGACAGTTGTGAGCTGCCATGTGGGTGCTGGGAATTGAACCCCGAGTCCTCTGGAAGAGCAGTCGGTGCTCTTAACCACTGAGCCACCTCTCCAGCCCTCTCTTCAGTATCTTAACACACACTCGCTCCCAATCCTTCATCAACTCCGGCCTTCCAACTAGCCAGGTGTTAAGGGGTCCGAGTAGGTGTTGGGCAAATACCAGCTTCTGACTTTTGTCTTTGGGGGCTCTGTGCTGGACACCTGGGCTCTGGCGCGTCTCTGCCTCTAATTCCTGTCTCCGAGCCAAGCTCACTTGCTGCCACCCAAGGGATCTTGTTAAAATGAAAACCTGTACATGTCACTTCTCTGCTCAGAAGTCATCAATGAACCCACAGTGTCGGTGAGAAGGAGGGGCCCCGGGCATGGCAATCTAGGGGAGGGGGAGTGTAATCTGGTACCTCTAGGCATTATCTGTTGAGATTCCAAATGCATGTGTCCTGTGACCCAGCATTTCTACTTCCTGAAAATTACCCTGCAGATACACTCACACCGGCAGAAAATGATGCATGTGTGAGGTTATTTGTGGAAGCACTGTTCATTGTAGCAAATGATTGGAAAGAGGGTACGTGTCCATCAGGAGGGGATGAGTGAAATAAATTTCAGTATATCCATAACAGACATTAAATAAAAGAATGAGGGCGCTCTTTGTGGACTGATACGGAACCATCTTCAAGATGTATTGTTAAGCAAAAGCAGGAAGCTATGTGTACGGCGTGTTTATAACTACCTTCCATGCAAAGCAAAGAAGATAAACACATGCCCTGTTTCCTTGCACATGCATAGCACAGCTCTGCAAATATCCACAAGAAAATTACATTGGTTGCCTTGGGGACACAGGCAAGGTGGCTTGGGGACCAGATGAGGTGAAGGATTGCTGCTAAATACTCATTTGAACTTTTTGAATTTTGAACCCTGAGATGTTCTATCTATTTTCAAAATGACTTAATGTTTTTCAAGTGGAGGAGTCTGAGATTGCCCAGGCTGCACACACCAGCCGCTCACTACCTGTGGAGCTGCAGCAGCTGGGGCCAGGGAGTGGGGCACTTTCTCCTTAGCGTTTCTTCAATGTTGGAATGTTTTCCTGAAATGTACTGCTTTTACAAGGAGGTAAGAATAATGAAGATGTTATGTGTAAGAGAACACAATTAAACTGAGCTCATAGACTAGATTCCTCCCTCTCCTCCCCAAGCCAAACAAAACAAACACGTGAACAAAAGCCAAAGCCAGATCCATCACACACACCCACACACGCTGCCCTTAGAATCAACTTGAGCTCCTGAGCCCTGCCAGCCTGGACACGTTGTCTGCCCACGTCCCCATCCCTAGCTTTTACCTGTACCATGCCCTCTCCCTGGGTGCCTTCCCTCACCTCTCCATCTGATGCTTTGTTGTTGGATACTTCGAATCCTAATTGTCCCAGTAAATGCCTATTCCACCCCTACAGTCCCACAGGCCACACATGGCATCTGGTAACTGCCCTGAGGCTGATCTGTCATCTTCCTCCTATCCCGGGACAGTGAAATGTCCTGTTGGAATCAATGTCAGCAGCTCTCCCTGGCTGTGTGACCTCAGCTTAGTCATCTGCCTCTCTGAGCCTCTGTCATCACTGGCATTCTCCCAGGGACCTCAGAGGCTCATCACCGTCTAAGCTCAGAGTGGACGGTGGGTGCCGCGCTGTCGTTTGGTGGTACATGCATGTGTGAGGGGTAAATAAGGAAGTGTCACTTCATCTTTCCGTCACATCATCAGCTGCCGTGGGAGCAGAGCTTAACACACACTTAAAGGAGCTCCTCCAAGAACTCACTTGTTACCCCATAACACACCTGGGTCGGTTTAATCCCAAGGACAAGGCGGCCAAGTTCAGACACGTGAGGTCCTTATAGGGTATAGACAGCTGCGCTTCCTGTCTTTCCTTTTCCCTCCTGTTCTTACAGGAGACCCCACCCACTTTCCCATTCTCTCTCCTCTTCTTGTGTGGCTGCCCATCCTCCCACATCCCCAGAGTCTCCTGGAACCCAAGATGCCTGCCTACACATGCTCTGTGCTTCCTCAGAGTTGCTGGGTCAGCAGGTGTGATGATCTGCCATGGGCTCCACCTCTCTGGCCAAGCCCCCTGCCCCAGCCCCATCCCTCACCTGTCTTGGGGTCCACTGTGAAGTGATGCTCGCCGTCTAGCACACTGTACACCAGCCGGGCGCTGCTGCCGTAAGTGGGGTCATCCGCATCGGAGGCCATCACCTGCATCACAGACGTGCCTGGGCCCGGGGGACCAAGCAAGACAATGGTCATACAGCGGTCACCTGGAACTTTGTGGCCCTGTCCCCTCCCCACCCTAGGGAAACCATGAGGGGCGACCCTTTGGGGATCTATTGGAGGTCATTGGCCAGCCACTTCACAGCCCTGTCCTCACACGAAGGCCCAACCTACTTCCTGACCCCATGGCCTTCCTAGGGACACAAGTGACCATGGAGTCATATCTGGATTTAAGTACCCCTTGGTTCCCAGATGTAGGACTAGCAAGGGAATCTCAGTTTCTCCTCCAAAATGGGCAGAATGCCAGTCCTTGGCCCGCAGGGCAAACGAGAGGGTGGATTTGTTATTCCCAGTACTGTGCAGCTAAGGGCAGTCCCTCAAAGGCAGAGGCAGGGGGGACAGTCATTATCTACATAGTTATGAGGCACAGTCAGAGCTGGGACTAGAAAGCAGGCCCCTGGGGGCTTTTAGTCACTCCAGCCCCTCTGGCTTCGTTTTGGACTCTGTCACCTGTCTTCCTTCTCTCTGCAGCCGCAGAGAGGGCAGAAGCACAGGCAGCTCGCTGGACCTCAGAGGCTGGCCCCCGGGCAGGAGGATGGCAGTGGCCAGCTTCCCTTTGGAAAGTGGTTAGCCGTAGGCCATGATGCCCCCTTGCCCCTCCCCCTGGTGCCCAGACAGCACCGCCCCCCTCAAGCCACACACACTTTTCCTCATGCTCTGCACGTAGGCTGCTGGGGAGAGCATAAATTGGATAAAAGTCCATCAAACAGCGGCAATTAAGTTATTGATTTTCGACGCTGCCTCATTAAACTGGGAGCTTCTCCCGGCCTGTCCCAGAGATGGCTCTAATTTGACATCATGTTCAATTTGACGAAAGCAGGGCTTGGGACGTGAGGCTGGACCAGTGGGGGAGGGGCATGGAAAGACCATGGGAACCTTTCCAGAAAAAAAAAGGGATGGGGGGAGGTGGAAGATCTAGAGAGAGTTTTGGGGGCTCAGGACATGAACCAACGAGGACATGATGGAAACCCTACATCTGGGTGATGTTCTCAGCTGGATGCCCTGCTAGGGGCCTGGTTGAGACCCTCCTGAGGCTGAGTTGGGCTCTCTGGGCCAGCAGGCAGCCTGCTGGGAGGTGAGGCCAGTTCACTGCTTGGCTAATGAAGGAGTCTGGAAGTGCTAGTACAGCAATTCTGCTGAGCCCAGCCCGTTGCCCGCCTCTCCCGCCTCCAGCCCGGGGCCCTCCATCATTCCAGACAGACACATGTATTTATTTTTCACTCCTTTGCATTTCTCATTTTCCTCTCTGGGTCCCCCTCCCAGCCAAAGCCTCCTGAGTGGGCCCTGCAATGCGCCTCTCTTTGTCGGCTACAGTTCCATGCCAACCACATCTGAGTTGCCCAAAGAGAGAGCACAAGCCCTTCCCTGTGTTGATAACGACCACGGGTTGCCAACTCAGGGCCAAGGGCACAGCCATGGTTACAGAGGAGGGAAGTAACGACTTCCTGTTGAGCACCTACCGCATACCTGGAGTCACAAGCCTCTTACACCATCTAAGTCCGTATGGCATCTCAGAGATGCACGGTGGACCTCCGATGTTACAGGTGAGGAAATGGGCCAGACAGGAAAGATTTGTCTGCATGTGCAGAGAGAGGACATGGTGGGATTTGAACACATGACTACACTATCAAAGCCCTTTTGGGTACTAGTGTCAGCACAGGCACAGTGACTTTGGGGAAAGTGGTCTGGTGTGCTGAGCCATAACCACTGATGGACCTTGATGTGAGACATGCCATGAACTCCTTTGTGCCTCAACACCCTCCCAAGCTCCTGAGATCATGTTGGGAATACAAATCATTTTGTTTCAGAACCAAGAACAGCACCCAGCAGAGGTAAGAACTGCAGGACTACAGGTGGCAGTCTCAGGAGGCCCCCCTCAGGTGTGTACAGTGGTGCAGCCAGGCCTCCCTCACCGAGGCACTGGAGTGGGGGGGGGTGCACCAAGTGTCAGGCTCGAGATGGGTGCTCGATAAATAGGGCTGTTGTAACTGTTACGAGGCAGAGTCTCCCTGTCTCTTCCCTGCCGGTTCCTTCCATCCCACAGACAAGTCACAATGCTGGGCTGAGTGACTCCCTGGGGATATGGCTGAGCTCACTCTCTCTCTCCCTGACTGCATCCCAGGGACTCCCTCGGGGATGCTGGAATCATTTCCCCAATCCGGGATTCTTTATGGTAGCCATTACAGTTAATGCCAACACATGAGGATGGTGAAGGGTCAGTGATTCACCACGGCTCCCCCAGGCCCTAAAGAAATGGCTTTCTTAGACCACACCTCCCTTTCCACCAGTCAGAAGCCCCCCCCCCCCAGAATTAGCAGAAAGAAGGGTGCCAGGCTGGAGGCAGCAGTAAGATCACCTTGGGGTTGTCCCCAAGGTCAGTTGGCCATAGCTTCTGCCAAGCAGCTTGCCATGACCATCACGCTTCCATTTTTTCAACCTCATGTTAACTCTGTGACACAGATGCAGGGGTGAGTGGGGAACAAATCTCGCTTCCTGGCCTTTGTGTAAGCGCTCACACCGCGGCCCAACATCAAGTCACCAACGTGGTGTCAAATGGCCCTCAGAATTTCTAAAAGTCAGTGTGTAGCTCTCATGAGTGGAAACGCATGGTCAGAATTATTACTCAACAGCAGTGATGGTGTTACACATACAGAATAATTGCTTCATACCACCTACTGTGCTGTGAGCCCTTTATGTACACCATCAAATGAAAACCACACAAAAGCCTTGTGGTTAGACCTGTGAAGATCTCCAGGGCCAGATCACTGACATCAGTGATCCTAGCATTCAAGGGGCCAAGACCGGAAGTTACCCTAAGCTTGAGACCAGGCTAGGCTACAAAATGAGGTCCTATCTCAAGAAACAAACACACAGACAGTCCACTTCTCGGATGAGGAAGCTGAGGCTGTTGGGTGGTAGACCTCTTTATCTCTTAGTATCTCCGTTTCCCCACTTGAGAGGCAGGAATCAAGAGCGCTTTCTGCCCTGTTGGGATCCTGTCAACACAGTCCCGTGTTCAGCACCAAGGACAGCGCAATCCACGTTCAAGGGGACTGCGTGTTGGTGAGGCAGGATTTAAATGAAGGGTGGATCTGACGTCAAAGCTCATGTATTCTGCCATCCAAATAGAAGGAAGGGATTGACAGAAGTTGAGATAAATAGGTAAATGAAAGAGGGAAGATTCTGGGAAAGTATAAGGAAGGGGAGAAGAGAGGAACACAGGAGAGGAAATCCTTAATCCAGGTTTTTCAAGTCAACCTGTCCTAGATGGGCCGGGCTGGAGAGAGAGAGAGAGAGAGAGAGAGAGAGAGAGAGAGAGAGAGAGAGAGAGAGAGAGAGAGAGAGAGAGAGAGAGAGAGAGATGGGAAGGCTGCTGTCCAAGGTGCCTTGGTCCTCCTGCTTGAGAGCTGCTTAAGAGCCTAAGTCAAGACAGCACTAGGAGAGGCCACCTGCCTGATTCTTGGATAAACGGGATCTCAGGGCTCACGTATCCATGCAGAATGTTAAATATGGGAAGTCTGGTCCCTAGAGAGCACAGATTCCGATGGTGCTCAGTCTGGCCGCACATTCGAATCCTCTGGGAGCTTTAAAATAAAACTGACGCTGAGCCTCGTCCCTGACCAATTAAATAGAACTCTGCGGGTGGAGCCCAGGCAAGGGCATTTTTTTTATTAGCTCCCTGCAAGGCTCAGAATGGATGCACTGTGGATCTGGCCCCTAACTGAACCAGTAAAGAAACTGAGTAACAGAAGGGCTCAATGACATCCTGAGGTACACAGTAGGGAGCGATTCCAACCTAGACCTTCCTGGCCAGGATGTCACCCTCCAGACACACTGCACCTGCACTGAAGGTGACATCAGAAAGGACAGCAAGCCTGCCTTGTGCCCCTACGTCCTTAAAGACCCTCCCAGCTGAGGTCAACCAGAGAAGTGGCACCTTCTAAGGGATGATGTCCCTCACACTTCCAGGGAATGTAGGTAGGCTCTGGCATCACAGTTCTGGGTTACATCCCAGTGTGTCTTCACCCTTACATGCCAAGCAAGTCCTCCCTCTGTTTGGCCTGTTTCCCTCTGTGTAATCTGAGACTCTGGGGTTTAGAGGTGATGGATTTAAGAGGCCAGTGGGCCGAATGTGTAGTGTGTGCTTCATTTTCTGTTCTCTGGATAGCCAGGAGGCACTTAGAGCTATGTTCTTGGCCCTGAGTAGGAGACTCCTGGATATCAACACCAGAGAGAGGGGACTCGCCTGTGATTCATCTCTGATTTATCCCGATAGCTCTGATGTTATCCATCCCATCTAGTCTCCTAATACAGGCTGTCCATGGGATACAGGAGGCCCCAGCAGGCTCCTGGAGAAGGTGATGCTATGTGGGGTGGAGCTGGAAGGCAGCAGAGATAAACTCTCACTCCAGTCCTTCCCTAGGTCCCACATGTGGCCGCAGGAACCCCACCCAGAGGTTCCCCATCTGTAAAGAGTCCATAATATTTTATCCCTCATGCATCCAAGGCTGTGGAGACCCCTTAATGAGATTAAAGAGATTAAGTGCTTTGGCAAAGCTCAGAGTCCTCCCCTGGCTGAGGCAACCAAGTGTCATTATTATGAAGATGTTTCTAATTGTCATCTCACAGCTTCTTTTTACCTCCTCTGCTACCCTGCTGGGCCTGGGGATACCCTGGGCTCACATTTAGCTTCTCCAACATTTATAAAAACAGAATCCCACCCCCTGCTGCTGCCAGCACCGTGTGGAACGCTTTCTATTAAAATTTAAAAACCACTTGTCGAGTCCCTGGGAACACTCAGGTTACGCAGGAAGCAAGCCCCCTTTCCAACTCCGGCCCCCCTGCCTCCTCTCAGCTCCCTCTCGGATCATCACTTATAATGTGGGCTGGCTGGGCTGGTCTTGACCTTGCTTCTAGCTGCCCAGCTGGGGCGCCCTAATGT